AAAAAAAAAGGGGTGTGTGTGCGTGTGTACGTGTCCAGAAACGGAGCTCCATGGCTCCTCCCACAAACACGTTCAGCGGCACGAAACACACTGGGCACATGAGGAGGAATAGAAAGGGGATTAGCAAACAAAAGAAAAAGAAATGAAACATAAACGAAGGCCAGTGAGAGAATCCGTTCGGGGAAAGGAACGATAACAAGAAAAAAACGCAACATGCTGTTCTCCACTTTTTTTTTCGTTTGCTTCAGCACTGCCTTACCCTTACTTCTGCTGCCTACAGAACCAGCTTCAAATGTCATTTGTTTTTTTTGGGGGGGCGTTTTTTTTTTTCGTTCTCGTACTTGCTATACAGAAGGAAGAAGGGGAAAGGGGGCTTCCATTTACGCCACATCCACCCCCCGCTCCATCCGGCACGCACAACACCCCAAGGATCACTCACGTGTTGTGGTTGTTGTTGTTTTTTTCCCCCAGCACCCACAATTATATCTTTCTTACTGGCTACATTCCTTGTTTACCACCACTTCCAACATCACCCCCTTTCCTACAAAACCACGTTTTTCTTCCGTGACTGACAGCTTTGTTCCCCCCACCCCCCTCCGGCAGTACTCGTGGTAGTTGTTATGCTTGTAGCATCTGCACCCATTGTGTCTCGTTGATCGTACTAGTTCCCGTATTAGTTGTTTTGCCAGTCCCAAAGTTCAAAAGGGCAGTAGAAGCAGAATCAGTGAAAGTGGGGGGGGGAAACCTTTATATTCCTGACATCATTTCTAATAGCTGTTGTTATTGTTGTTGCGGCAATACTAGCGTTTGTATTGCTCGTAGAAGTGTTGGAGGTGTCACAAGAGCCCCTACTGAGAGGAGGTTGCATTCGAAGTTTCTGTGGTTGTAACACAATGGCAAAGTTTTGCATCATTAGTCGTCACAAGCTGCGATGCGTGGTCCCATTCTTGCTCTGTAGTCGCTCCACGCTTGGCAGTTTAGGGTGCGGACGTGTTGGGGAGAATTGATCGAAACTGTCGCTGTTGATGCTGCTAATGAGACCCTCGAAACTCACCGCCCTGGGTGCTTTGCAGCCCCAGAGATCCTCAGAGTTGCACATTTTGATGATGGAGGCCTAATCATCGGAAATAGAGTTGGTCGGTAGGCGAAACACTACCTCGTCCACCGCGTTGACAGGAACACATGCACCACTTTCTGTCACCAAGCACAAAATCTCACCACTGCATTGTCCAGAGGATGAGGAAAGTCCGAAACCGTCCTTTCCCTTGTGGTCCCCGTGTTGCCCTCGACATGCGACTCAACCGCCTTCCCCTCTCATTGCTTTAGTGGTAAGATATGCGGTCTTGTTTCTCTTCGTGGTGGCGGCGTTACTGCTACTGTCCCTAATGGCTGCGGATCTGGTGGTGAAGGTTGGGACAGCTTGGATTCCTTCGGTAACTCACCACTCGACATTGCCGAGCCCTCTCTAGAAACGATAGTCTCTGTGCTGAATGACACAACGCGCATGCGTCCATTTCGAAGCGACGAAGAACTGGGGAGCTCCTTTTCAAATTCATCCGACGTATCTTCTGGTGGGGCAAGATGCAGTCGCGAACCCCTGAGAGGGGACTTCCCCCTCCGGACTGGCGGCCTCGGAAGATACGCCGGCGACACCCCCGCGGACGCCACGCCGTCTTCTGCGGGGGGCGACGGCAACCTTCTCTCGACGAGAACTCGCTGCGAGCGATCAATGGGGGGCGTCGTCATCGTCATCGCATCGGGATTCTTCTTGTGTGGCAAGTCGCCTTCTCTCGCGCCAGGGGAGAGGGAAAGGCAATGATAGCCCTCATTTGCGAACCGCTCTTGCGGCGCAAAGCGCGACCGACGATGTAGCTGCTGCGTGAGGCCCCCATTCAAGTCATCGGCAAAGTGGTCCTTGAGCCCCTTATTCTGCACCCTTGTACCCTTCACGGGAGCGGGGTTGCCAGGAAGAAGCGGCAGGTGAATGTGTGGACTATCACCAGAAACGCCAACTTTGCGCACGCTCGCCTTCGCCACGGAGGTGTGGCCTGACGGGGAGGAAACGTGGCGCATGCGCGGGCCTGAGGGGAGCGAGGGCCGCGGCGGGAGACCTACGCAGGGCATAGAGAAAGTTCCGCCCTGCTCCCGCAGTGGTGTCAGTGGCGACACCACCACACCCGTGGTGGGAGTTGCACCCAACGGCGGTACCGTTGAAATGGGTGGCACGCTCACTCGGTTGGCACTGGGGTCTTTCTTTGCCGTCATCGCCGGAGCCCTCACCTGCGGGGTGATGTGATCCCAAAGAGGAGTGCATGCGTCCTGTTGTGTAGAATTATCCGACGGGGCGGGGGTACTGCTGTCATTTGAGCTGCAGAGTCCGGGGGGGCTCGCTGTCACGGCGTACATGGGTGAGTTGCTCGACTCTGGTGAGTCACGCATCCTGTCCGTGTTTTTAGCGTCCTTGAGATAGCAATCTGCACTCTCATTCGTGACCTCATCCTCCCCCAGGCTCGTGTGGCCAATTTCACTCACAGCACTACTTCCAGTGTCTCTGCTAGCATATCCGCTATCACCCGAATGGCCACCATGAATATTGCCAATATCCCCGAGAGCGATAAATCGCGTGTGCCGCCAGTTCGCTACGTCGGCTCCAGGGCTATCGCCAGCAGACATGGGGGAATTTAAAGAGTCACATCCAGACGCCAACCTCTCCCCCGAGCTCACTGGCCAAGCAGCCACATACGGCACTCGCGATGGGGAACTTGTTCCGGCTTTTTGTTCCTTTGGGTGAGGCGATGTGTGCGCCACACATCTGGTTGATACATGATCAGCATGACTCCGTGAGGGCAATTTAGACACCCCAAAGCCCATCGCCACGGGCTTTTCGAAATTGTATGTAGGGCTTAATTGCTTTACACCAAGAACAAAAGAATCACGTTGTGTTCCGTTGTCCTCAACTCTTCTCCAACAACTCCGCTGCGACTGCAACGGCGATGCCTGAGAGAGGAAGGAAGGAAGAGTTGAGAAATATATACTACCAGCAATAAAGGGTCTCTTTGAAGGATCAAAGATACTTCACCACTAAGCACTTTAATCTCGTTGCACCGCGGTTGCCGCAGGGCGAAGAAGAAGAATGTCAACAACAACAACAAAAAAAAAAAACGGAAATAAATGCCTCACACGCACACCCGTAAGGGAAAAGCAGCAAGCACACACCACAAGTCAACGGTGTGGAAAGAAAAAAAGACACCTTGAGTGGCATGATGAACAAAGAAACCGCAAGAGAAGAGTAAGGGAGGGAAGCCCTGTTCCCACACTAGAGACTCATCCCCACCCCCCACCCCCTCGCCAAACATCACTAATAGTCAAAAGAGAGTAGACCAAATTCCATCGTTTTTTTTTTTTGCATCTTCTTCTCTGCAATCTCAGTCGATCTTCCTTCCATACTTGTCCACACGAAAAAGGGTCTGTCCAAGCGATCGTGGTTTTAGCGCGCTGCTCTTCGAGTACGTGCCGTAGCGGCCACTCTTGCGACAGGCCTCCTCCATGCGTTTTTTGGCATGTGCCCACTCCTTCTCCCCGGGGTATTTTATGTGTTTCCACGCATTGCTCTTCGCTGAGGGAAGGGACGGTGAAAAGGTGACACTCGCCTCGCGTTCATTCGCGACGATGCTAGTGAAGTGGTGGTAAATAACCTTCTCTTCAGCGTAGCGCTGCATCGCCTGGCACATCTCCCGCAGCTTTGTGACGGCCGCCTCCGGGGATTGGAATTCCCTGATGGTGAGCTTGACTGGATGCCGTTTCTTTATGTCATCCACGATCTTTTTGCTGCGCCATCCCACAAAGTGCGTGTCCACAACGTCTCGGAATTGGTGATCGATAAGCTCACGTAGTTTGCCATCTGCGTGGCTGTCACCACCACTACCACCAATACGGCCACCGGCCTTTTCTACCCCCTCCTCTCCACGCAGCGCTTCCAGCTCCACACTCACCAGGCTCAAGATGCGGGGGTATTCGTGGCGAATGCGGCAGTATGCCACATCCCCGCGGGCACCCATTTGCACAAGATTCATCGACCGCTCCTGTGCCTGCTGCAGCGCCTCTGACAGATCACACGGGCTCAATGACATCTTTGTCTCGGCTCCAGATTCGGGATCCTCCACATGCGTGATCTGAATCTTTGGCTGCGTAATGAGGGTGTCTATGGGATGCTGCTGAAGGTATGTCACCACTTTCTGCCGTGCAGACTCAGGGGCATTCTCGGGGAGCAGCTCCTGAAGAATGCCATCCAGGCTCCTCTTGGCGACATTGACTGCCGCATCCTTCTGCACGCTAAGAGTGGGATCAAAGACGTACTCATCCTCTGTTGGGCCGTTGCCGCCCTTCGACGTGGCGAAGGCACGCACGTGGAGAGACAGTGGCACACATACAGTTGTTAGCGAAATTGCCGGGGTCACATGTACCCGCAGCGGAACAAAGGCGAGACGGCGCCAGCAGCAGCAGCTGCTGCGTGCCACGGATGAAACTACCACACGCTGTTTCATTATGGAAACAACTACAACAGGGGAAGTGTATCGTACCTCCCACCTCGCTGCAAGAAGATGCCTCTTGTTGTTGTTGTTTTGTGAGTGTTTTGTAAATGAAAGCGAATGAAGTGGAAAAGCAAGCAACCGTAACCACATGCAGCATCTCCGCCCTGAAAAAAAAACGCAGTATACTCGCCGTGCACATGCAGAAACACATATAGACAGAGAGAGAAAGGGAGACATGCAACGAAGCAAAACGTCAGGAACGCTAGCCAGCAGCTATTTCTGCTTCAACGCAAATGTCATGCTGACACCGTAGTGATCAGATGGGAACAAGTAGGCAGGCGCGTCCTTGTTGCTATTCTCCTCGTTCACGCTCTTTGTACCCACAAGATGCGCCTCCATCGGTACCAGGCGCCGGCTGCGAAGAAACATCTTGTCAGAGCGGCCAAAGAACATCTCCTCCACCTTAAGCTTACAAAATGTGTTCGTCTCATCCATCGTCTTACCGGCGTCCTTAGGATGAAGGACAGGCCAGCAGTCCGTGTACTGTGACTCCGCTGGCATGAGGAACTCATTGGTAGGCCAGTCATTGAAGTCACCCATCGTCACCACGTCACCGCTCAGTGTCTTAACCATGTGGTGCCGCAGCGCTGAATCCTGCGAAGTACGTGCGTTCTCGTGCGATTTGGTGTACGGCGCCAGCAGGTGCGCCGCCGCCACGTGCACCATCCCGTGTGGCATGCGGAGACAAACGACAGGCATGAGCGAGACGTGGTTCGTCCACGCAGGGACATTGAGGTACGTAATGCTTTGCACCGGTAGACGTCGGCGGTGTACCAGCATCAACACACCCCATGGAGCAATGGCAGGGCTCATGTGGCCGCACGAAAAGTAATAATTCTCTCGCATCCACGGCTGTTTTGAGAGGAAGTCCCAAAAGACCGGCTCAACCTCCTGCATACCCACAACATCCGCATCCTCCTGCTGGATGATCTTTGCAAGCACCGGGTAACGCTTGGGGGAACACCAATCAATTCCGGGCATCCCCAATGGAGTGGGCTTCCCACTGTACCGATCAAACATGACATTCCATGTGAGCAGTTTCAACGTCGACTGCTTTGGAGCTGTCACTCGATCCACCCCAGTGTTGCTCATACCACTGATGTTGGGCACCTCACGTGCACTAGCACTACTCTCCTGTGTATTTGCAGCTTCTGTAGCTGCAGAGCATGGTGCCTCTTTCATCTCCTTCATTCCATCATTGCCGTCATTCTCATGCGGCAGAGCCGCTTTTAATCCTCCAACTTCCTCTGCTCCTGTTCCTGTTGTTGTTTCTTGTATCTGGCTGCCAACAACAGACTCCGCGCCGCATGGGAAATTAGCGATCGGCTCCCACGTCGCAGTCGAGGTTAAAAAGAACGATGGTCCATCGCGAGACATATTTACTTCGAGTGTCATACCTTTCACCGCGTTGCGTTGACGACGCGTCTCATTCAGGCAACTGCGGCTGCCGATGTCAACATACTCAAACCGCCACAACTGAGTCTTCTCACTCTGCAACCAGCAGTACGACGGCGAGAGGCACAAGCACTTGTGTGGCTTCACCGGATCCGCGTAGGATAGCACCTCGCGAAGCATGCGGTGCGCTCCCTCTGTATCTGCTGTTGTGATCATTTTTCCAACCTCCTGCTTTGGCGCGACACCAACGTAATGCTGAATCAGTCCTTCCACCGCGGCCGGTTGGGACTGGCACAAAATGGTGTACTCCGCCGCCGTCAAGGGTTTTGCCTGCGCCCCCTTCGCGGCTGCAGAATCTGCGGCATCAGCACATGGAACAATTTGGCGTGCGGTGCGGTGTGGGGACGAGGCACACAGCGCACTGAGGTGCCCAGCGAACTGAGCCACGCCGGGTGCCGCGTTTCCACTCAGCGGCGCGGCTGCTGTCGGAGGGACGTAGCTGCGGTCCGGCGTCTCCCCGAGACACAGCATCGCGTGCGTCTGCAGCGCGTGCTCGAGACACACCTCCGACACGGCGTCGACGCGTGGCGGCACTTCCTTGCGCGCCACCAGTTGAATGATGCGGCAGAGGAGCGGGACATTGAGACGCAGCGTGTTGCCGGGGCAGTCCTCGAACAGAAACGCCGCTGCGGTCTGTGGCGAGGCACCATCCTTGGTGGGCTCCGCCACACTCTTCATGTAGCGCTCGACGAGCTCGTGGAAGCTAACACCAGGAATGGGGCTGAACTCTGTCGCTGAGGCACCGTTCGCGAGGAGGAAGAGAAAAAGAATATCCGTTCGCATCTTTGCAATCGTGACACTGTCTCCTTCCCTTGCCTTCTTGTCGAGCTCAAGCCACTCCAGGATGTCCTGCAGCCGCATCTGCCGCAGGTCTGCGTTGTTCTGCACGACACTGGTAATGTTGTAGTAGGGAGAGAGTGCCATGACGTTCAGGTAGAGCTCAGAGGCGCCAACGAGGCAGAGCGAGTCGGTGCTTCCGCTGAAGCTCTCGCGGCAGGCCAAATCAAGTGCCCATGCGGACATCTTCTGCTCCACGCAGCCCTGCACACACGTGCCGGCGAAAACCACTTCCCCTGGCACAATTTGTCGCTCAGGCATCATGCGCACGAGTCGCTCCTCCACCGCCTGCATCAGCGGCGTCCCTGGCAGGCGCATCAGGCGGCTCTCAACTTTCCGGGTGACACTACTAGATCGCGTTCGGTCCGCCTTGAGCAACGTTTCCGCGCCGTCCATGGCGATGAGGAGCGACTTTTTGCAGCGCACTTTCTTGAGCAGCTGCTGCAGCGATTGTGCCACGTGGCGCGCAACCTCCTTATGCCGGCGCTGCTCGGTGGAGACGTTCTTCGCCAGCCGAAGTCCGGTTGCCACGAGTGCCGTCGCGTCGACGCCAAGGTAGTCGCACTCCACTTCCTTCTTTGTGATGAGCAACTGGAAGCGGTCGCTAATCTTCGCCTGGCGGTACGTCGTCGCGGCGAAGCGGGATGGCGTCCATGTGAATGGCATGTGACGTCAGTGTCCCGCAGCAACGCCCCCCCCCCCTTTGCTCAGCGAAATGCGGCCACTCAACAGCACACCGCACACGCTCCGTCAGATCTGCTGATGGGTGAGGATGGTAACAAAACAGGGAAAGGGGAAAAGAAACGAAGTTGAACAGGAAACAATCAGACTTTTGGTGCCACGCACTGAAAAAGAATGGCACAACAGCAAGTTCAGCAAAAAAAAAAGGAACTGTCCATCAGGGACGCAAACAGATGCACACAGTAATAGAAACACAAGCACACAGACAGATAGACAGACAGAGACAGAGAGCCAAACACAAATAAGGACGCACCCCACAGCAACCGGCACCACCAGATCCTCCCCAGCAGCAATTTTTCTTTAGCTGCAAGTCTCTTCTCTGCTTCCTTCTCCATTTCCTCTTTTTCCACCCCCACAGTGTCTACATGTTTCTCTGTGCGCTAAGTTCTCTGCTTTTTTTTGTTTTTTTTTTTTGGTTAGTTCTGTTGCAGTTCCTGCTCCTCCTTGACGCCCTCTTCATCGGTCTGGATTGTAGCAAGAGGAGGAGGAGGAGGAGGAGGAGCCGCATCGCTATTGTCCGTCTGCTTTTTAGAGGCACTGCGTGTTCTTGGAATCGCTGGAACGGCGTCGGCTTTCCTAAGAAGATCCATCTTTGTCCGCTCACTTGTGTACAGCTGCATGAACTTCACGTAGCGCTTCCCCGCGAGACTGGTTGCCGCTTCCACGATGTCAAGCGGATGCCGCTCGTTCCCCTCATCAGACTTCTTGTTTTTGGCTGTTTTGGCAGTCGCATTAGCAGCAGCAGCGTCTTCGTCAACAGCCGTGCCGGCGTCCGCCTCCCGCTGGTCAGCCTCAGCGTCCTTGTCGCTTCCCTTCTTTCGCAGCACCCGAGGCTTTGCAGGAGCGACCTGAGGGAGGCGCAGCTGCGATGTGAACGGAATGTGGATAATCTCCTCCGCTCGGATGAGGCGCTGCAGCACCTGCACCGCCTTATGGGACTCCGGAGTCGCGAGTGGCGGCCTCCACAGCGGAGGTGGTGGCGGTGGCGGTGGCGGTGGCGGTGTCGCCATCACGCTGTTCGCAAGACGCAGCGCCAATGGCACGTCGTCTGGATCAGAAAACTCCGCTTCGCCCTCCTCCTGCCTCTGTGACTGTGGCTGCAACTGAAGCTGCAGCTGCCGTTTGCCACGACGACCAGCTGGTGCCGATGGCCCCTCCGTCTTTGGAGCCTTCATCCGCCTCTCAGATTTCTTTTCGCCCCCTTCAGTTACATCGGCAGCTGCATCGACTCCCTCCTTCACATCACCGGCACGCGAGCGCTTTCGTGTCGCCTGTCGCGGCGACTTTTCGCCTGCGTTTGGCGATGTAGAACCCTTTCGTGATGCGTGCGTAGCGGTCTTTCCCGCTGTTTCCCTCTGCATGGACCCCCGACGGCGCTGCTGCTCGGCAACTGCGTGGGGGTTGCCAGTCAATGGACAAAATGTAGTCGTAAGACCACACTGGGGGCACGGCTGCACTACCCCCGTATTCTTTCCAGCCGCTAAAACGGCAAACGGAACATCATCAACATCGATTTCGGGACTACCACCTTTCGTATTGCCCCGCCGTTTTTTGAGCGTAGTTGGCTTCTCATCTGCAGGGGTGTTCTCCTGAGAACTCCCAGCAGTAACCTTTGCACGTGGACTTCTTCTAGTCCTAGGTGTCTCAGTTGCAGCGGCGGTAGAGGAGGAGCTTCCCGCTCGTGACTTCGTAACTTTCTTCAGAGAACGGCGGGTGCCTTTATCCCTCTCAAAAACAGCGCTGGCACCAGGCAGCATCTTCAACTGCGCCAGAATGTTATCGAGGGCCAGGCCGTACCATTTTTGCCCCTGCACCGTCATGGTGCCCTGCGCGTCACGCTTCTCCCCCAGCAACTCACTCAGTCGGGTGGGAAAGTCCCGCTCCGCCGCCTCGAAGGCCCCACGCCACGCAGACGAGGGATTATTGCTGCTGTGAACCTCATCCGGCTTATCGCTGCGCGTGACTTGAAACAATGGGCCACCGTCCACGCCACGTTTAATCGAAGCCGTGTAGTATACACCGTCGACGTGTGCTTTGGCGTCCGCCTCACCCGGAAGCACCACCTTGGTTCGGACAATACGGCCAACCGCGTCAGCACCCATGAAGACGCTCCGCTCAATAGTGTAGCCCACGGGATACGGCATCATCCCGTGGGTGTGCTGCCGGAAGAACCGTGGATCACCAACGAGCTCGCCCAACGAAACAACGTGTAACATTTCACCTGTTCACGCCTGCAGCAGCCTAGCAGGCTTGCACTCTGCTCTGTAGTGGGCGGTGTTGTTTAAATGGCGCCACGCGTCTTGCCGGCACTCAATCTAATCCTTTTTTTTTTTTGTTCGTCAGCACCGCCTCCATGCAATAGGACGGCACGGACACACAATGGAAAACGAGGAGAGGAGAAAAGAAAACCCCATGCAGAACAGAGATCCAGAGTGACTGAGAGCAAAAAGAACAGCACACCAGGGCTCTTCTCCGCCCTCCTCTACCCCCCAAGCTGCTTGGGTTACAACCACAAAATTATGAAGAGAAAACAAAGAAGAAATGCACTCTCGCGAGAAGCAATACAGGCTTGACGATCATCGGTAGGACTTCGTGAAGCGGGTACGAGCAGAGTGACGGCCCCACTTCTTGGGCTCGCAGCGGCGAGGGTCCGCAATCAGGAGGAACTCGTCGTACGCGAGGTACTTGTCCTTCAGCGCGGCCTTCTCCACCTCGTTGCGGTATTTCTGGTAGTACGCAATAAGGCCCTTGGCGATGGCCTGGCGCGTGGCATAGGCCTGGGCGACCTGGCCAGCACCACGAACCGTCACGTCAATGCGCAGGCGAGCGAAGTGGCGGGAGCCAACAACGTTGACGGCCTCCATAATTTTCGCACGGAGCGTCTCCGGGAGAATCTGCGAGACAGGAACACCGTTCACACGGATGTTGCACTGCGCGGCCTTCGTCACGGTGGCAACGGCAATAGCCGTCTTCTTCTTGCCGAAGGTCTGCACCTGCTTGAGGGTGTGGGGCTTCTTCTCAGCGGACATTGGAGTGCTACATCGGTGTAAACAGGAGATTGGGAAGAGAGACGAGCTGAGTGGGGCAACGAAGCATCACACCAACAGAACTACTGCAGCAGCAATAAAGGGATATCACGCCGAAAAGGAATTTAAAAAAACAACAAAGAAGAAAGGAAACCAACTCACATATGTGGTTGCGCACGCTGTCACTCCATCTACACAAGAGGCACCTTCTCCAGGATCTGCAGCAATGCAGGCTTGACGATCATCGGTAGGACTTCGTGAAGCGGGTACGAGCAGAGTGACGGCCCCACTTCTTGGGCTCGCAGCGGCGAGGGTCCGCAATGAGGAGGAACTCGTCGTACGCGAGGTACTTGTCCTTCAGCGCGGCCTTCTCCACCTCGTTGCGGTACTTCTGGTAGTACGCAATAAGGCCCTTGGCGATGGCCTGGCGCGTGGCATAGGCCTGGGCGACCTGGCCAGCACCACGAACCGTCACGTCAATGCGCAGGCGAGCGAAGTGGCGGGA